CAACCCCTTTTCATTAATTTTACCACTTTTATCTATTATATGCCCCTATAAGCTCCGAGGTCAGCAATTCTGGTGTCAAAGACTATTCATTTATCGGTTAATTACAAGGATAATAAATAACAATAAGAAACTAGAAAAGTAAATATGTCTTTAAAAAATGAAGAAACGAAAGCGCGCCAAGTTGCTGCTGGGGAGACTTTCTTTTACCGAATTCACGGTACGCCTGAGGTGGAAACGAGCTTCCGAGTCCGCTTGATCTCCGGCACCGCGAATGCGAAACTCACCGACGACGTTTCACGATGCCTGTGCATCGAAAAGTCCAAGATGGAGATCAAGAAGTTCGCCAATGGAGAGCTCAACATTAAGATCATCGACGACGTTCGCGGGGATGACTGCTTCATCATCCAACCCACTGCGGGCGGGGACGAGGACGACGTCAACACCGTCATGATGGAGCTGTTGTTACTCGTGCACACGCTCAAACTCGCCTCGGCGCGGCGCATCACGGCGATCGTGCCGTACTTCGCGTACAGCCGGCAGGATCGCAAGTGCGAGCCGCGGGTCCCCATCTCGGCCTCCGCGATGGCCCAGCTCCTGCAGTGCGTCGGCGTCGACCGCGTCGTGACGCTGGACCTCCACTGCGGCCAAATCCAAGGTTTCTTTCGTAACATACCGGTGGACAACCTGCTGATGTTCCCCGAGTTCGCGAACTACCTGTTTCGACAGTCCTGGTTTGACAAGGCCCGGACGGTCGTGGTGTCACCGGACGCCGGGGGGGTGGAGCGCGCGAACGTCCTGGCAGACCGCATCCAAGCCAGTCACATCGTGACCATCCTGAAACGGCGAAAGGAGGCGGGGAAGGTGGACTCGATGCAGACCGTCGGAAATGTGGAGGGGTATACGTGTATTATTGTGGATGATATTGTGGATACGGCGGGAACCTTGTGTAAGGCGTGTGAGTTGCTGAAGGAAATGCACGCCGTTCGCGTCATTGCGTGTGCGAGCCATGGGATCCTCTCCGACCCAGCGTGCGAGCGAATCATGGCGTGCAACGCACTGGAAGAGTTGGTGGTTTCGGATTCCGTTTCAATGCGTGAAAAGATTAAGAAGTGTCGAAAACTCACCGTCCTCACGACCGCCCCCTTGCTCGCACAGGCAGTGGATTGTCTGCACAGAGAGGCTTCATTGTCATCACTTTTTGTATAATTTAGTAGTATTATAGCAACATGTATAATGTGGCTTTTTTTGACGAAAGGGTTATGCTGATGGTACTTCATTTCTTCTGTCACTATTGGGTAAGGTGAGTGTTTTTAAAAAGTGTAACGTTAAAACATCCACAAGTTGAGAGGTCATAGCAAGTTTAGTATTTTTTTTATAATAAGGGGAGTCCTTTTAATATATTTTAAGCTAAAGTTTCCATTTTACTCATGCATTCAAAATGAGAAAAATACGGCATTTTTTTTCCGTATGTTGATGGTGATTTGTCCCCTCGCACTCTTTCTCTCTCTTCCTTTCAACTTTTCCAATCCTGTTCTGATTACGCTGGGGAAGGATTTATTCTCCATTTTTTTTGATGGCTTCAATGAGGATAAAAATCATCTATTCTGTGCTTAACTAAAATTTTTAATTCACCTCTTTCTATTATGGGATAGTAGAGCTTTATTTAGCGTTTCATTCAAAACGTTTAGCTTGGTAATGAGGCCTGGTACCACATCCAACTTATCGTTTAACAGTAGCTCTGACTATTCAGCACATTTAGTTCCTTTGGATGAATGCGACACATCTTCATTAGCTAGCGGTAATGTTAGAGATCCGCAATATATTAGCCGTTTTTATAATCCTGACAGTCATCCACGAGATGTGACTGATGGTAATTCAAAAGATTGTAGACCACAACATGAGGATGCTTCCACATTCGCAGTCTCGCAGGATACGTGTCGTACGTCGCAGCTACATGCTTCTGGTAGTGTAGAAAAATATAGCTCTTCGATGAAGCCCTCTTCTGGCGTAGCAATGTCTTCAGCTATTAAGGACCTCGAGATGGGTGAGGGAGTGGTAATGCATAATCATGCATCCTTTGAAGAAGGCAGCGGATTAAATATGATACACCCAAATTCGACATCGCATTGGGGTCACCTGTTGAATGCAGCAGTGGCGGGGGTTCAGAACTGTGGTAAATTCGTAAAGAATGGCATCAATCACGCAGTAGGGCGGATGTTAGGGATTAAATCCTCCACGAACATCACTGACGCGCAGTCGTGTGTTTCCTCCGTTAAAACTGATTCGTTAGCTCCTGAGGGGAATATTAGAGGCCTTGACAGCCCTCCATCTTCTCCATATTCACCAAAAAGTAAAAAACAACTTTTTCAACAAAAGTCTGAAAACGATCGCGAGGTGATCCGTACGGACTGTATTTTTGTAAGTGTTGATCAAGAGTCGAACCTGTTATTTCGCCCGGCGAACCTTTTAGCAAACCCCACCACGGGCGAGTCACAGCTGCTCAAAGAAGTGACGAGGGAGGAGGAGTTTGGAGTTGAAAACGAGGTCCCGGTTTACGAGGTGGACTTGATCTCGGCCTTGGAGAGTTATTTGGATAATCCGAATGAGTGTTTTTCGCATCTTGTAGCCGCAGCTCTCGCCTCGCGTTCGGTAAAACGCCCAGTTACCGGGGTCGAGGTTGCAGCCGCCCAGTATAATCCTTTCATCGTGCGGTTGATCGTCGCCTCGGGGTGTTTAGACGTCGAGGATACCCTTGCGCGGCAGGAGGTGCAGGAAACCATCGACTCCCTATTTCCCCTTGATTGCTCTTGTTTATCCCCCACTGTCTACGACTACTTGAAATCGTTTCTGGAGTTACCTTTTGTGAAACTTTCCTACGACCAGTACGCACTTCTGAAGATGAGTGGGTTTGAATACATAATCCTTATGCGGAAGTACTCGCACGTGCTCCGGCGGGATAAATTCTACACGATCCTTTTCAATTATTCGTCTAAGATGCTGCTCTTGAATTGGATTTTTGTTTTTGTTTCCCTCGTCGTAAATACGTTGATCACTCTTTCTATTATTAACCACATCGTGATCTGGTTTTACCGAGATAATGAATTATATCGTGTTAATGGAATTTACTCCCTCGTCGTCTTCGGCTGTGGTTATGTGGTGAACTTCGTTACGATGGTTTACTTCACACAGCGAAAGGAGGATACCTCACGTTATGAGGATACGGGTGTTTTAAAACCTCCCTCGCTCTATGTGGTGCTTTTTTTATTTCCCTTTTATGAACTGTTTTGCCTTATTACCTTAACGCGAGCGATAAGGCGGAAGAAGTTGGTTTTAGTGCATAATCTTCTGGCGCTTTCCCGGACCTCCGGGATGTGCAGTGCGATGTGGTTAGTCATTCCGCAAATCCTCGTTCAGAGGTTTCTTATATTTTCCACGGGCAATCCAGAACTTGAAAATTTCCATTTGAATTCCTCAGTCCTGATTTATTTGGGCATTGGGCAATGGAGTTTAGCACTTTTTCGTTATGGTTATATGTTGATGGCTTATGATTCGATTGACTACTTTGGCTACGCAAGCTTCAAAAGATCAATCCCAAAGAATTACCTCGAAAGACATCCGGGGATTCTGATTTTACTCAACCACTACACGACGTACATTGCCGAAGTAGCAATATACACCGTTATTGTCAGCTTTATTGAGATGTACAATACCTCAAAATGTAAAGACCTCACTGTTCCTGTTATCTGCATTTCGGTGTCTATGTTATTGGCAGCTTCCGTGATGTTTACAACCCTTATCTTCAATAAAATTTCAGTCGGTTTTGTGAGCTTCTTTAATATTATAACTATTTGTTTCCTGGTCGTGATAAAGATGACAATAAGTCACCGTTATCCGTCAAGTGAAGATATTGACTGTTATCTCTATGCTAAAGAAATTTCATATGATTTTCCGTTTGTCGACGTTCTATGGATTGTATATGAAGTGTTGTTTTTTTGTTGGTTCCTTCTTGTACTGTCGTGGCCCCTACGGAAGTTTTTTCATGATAATATCTTCCAAAACGTCGTATTTCCCTTACTTCAAAGAGTTTTCTGTTTAAAAAATGAGGAACAATCAAAATATGATCAAAAGTCGGTGGTAAGGGATCTCCAGTTAGTATCTTAACCGTCTTCTCAATTTATTCTTAACTGGGTTTCCTTTTGTTAAGTAAAGAAAATTTGTGTAAAGCTTTAAACAGGATTGATAATATTCTGTGCTTGTCTCTTTTAGTTTATTTTTTATAAATTTGTCTTTTATTTATCACATTTCTTTCCATGAATTCATTTGAAAAATGACCTTGCATTCAACGCTTCTGATGTTTTAGTAGTGAAATTAATTTTCCTTAAATTGCTATTAGAATATTTCCTCTCTTTTGCATCACCTCATTTTTTATTTATATATTTGTCTATTGCAAGATAACGCCATAAAAGCGCTCAAATTACATTTTTTTTAAACTTTCCCTAGCTTTTAAAGTCCAAGTAATAGTATTTCCTTTACTTATCGAATATAGACTTTACCGTCAGATTATATTCTTAGTTATCTATTCACTTAAGAATATCTCTCCCCCTTCCCCTTACCCCCCTCATCATCCCCCCCCCCCAAAAAGAACCCTCAACTACCACGATAAAACTTATAGATATTTATAGCTATACCTATCCTATTACATCTATACCTGTCTTTCTCTATAACCATACCTATTGCTTAATCTCTGAATCTCCCAGATCACCGAACCTCTAACCCACCAATCCCGTCCCACACGGAAGCTAGCCGCGAGCTGTGACGCAGTCTCGCACGATGTACGATCTCGCCTACAGTCGAAACGTCTACGTCGCGAGCCTGCCGCACGACTACACAAACGAACAGCTGCGTGAGCTCTTTGCGCGTTTCGGCCGTGTTATCTCTTGTACGGTAAAGCGTGACAAAGTAACAGGGATTGGCAAGGGCTACGGCTTCGTCCTCTTCGCAACAGACGAGGACGCGTGTAATGCGGTGATCGGGCTGCAGCGCCACGCGATTAACCAGACCCGCATCCAGGTTCGTCTGGCGCGGCCAGAGGCCTCGGCGAAGAAGATCCTGCCCGTCATCGCGCAGCAGTACACCCTGCAGGGGTATCAGCCTTGCTATATT